TTCTTGCCAATGGCATGAAAATTATATTCTCGTTCAACACGCTTTCGATCCGTCATAAAGATGTTTTGTTAGCAGCAAAGCGTACATCTAATTGCCAGAGTGTTATTTAAAAGTATTTTCAACTCCTTATAAGACAACCTGCACATTTTCAGTTGTATTAATTTATGTGATGTCATAAAAAAAGTCTTTTTGTCTTTCTTTATAACAAACCTCCGAATACCTCATAAGAAACTGTCAATCACTGCGTGAAGAGACAGTCCGACTCAATGGCGCCGTCAATGTTTACATCAATCTGGAAAGTTCAGAATCTCTTCAAGAACTTTATACATTCACCTAAGATTGATTTTGTATACGACAAGTTTTATAGTGGTATTAAAACAGTAAGATGCACGTTTGAATAACTTGTAAAGAAAAAAACCAAAAGAAAACTATTTTGGAAAATGTTGAATCTAGAAAGTATGAAGAAAACATCTATAAACCTCATATATAACGTGGGATGTTTTCTGCATCACTTTTAATACATTTATTTATTTATTATTATTATAGTCCATCTGACTTGATAGTCTCAATGAAATACTTAAATCTAAATGTAGTCACTTATTAAAAATTAAAAATTGGCCAACAGCAAACGATGACGAAACATCGAGGCATTGATGTCAAAGTCAAATAGGTCAGAGGCTTCGTTGAATTGATGAATCATGGTGACAAAGGAACTGTTTGCAGCATAGTTGGTTGCATGTACTTTTTCATGAAGTAAGGCTCTCGGATGGAGTGTTCGGGCAGGAGCATACAGATTAATTTTTGCAACTAACTCAGGAACATCATATTCTGCGAGTAAAACTTTAGCAACGAAGACGACCTGCGATATGTTTCGTCGCTTAGCAAGAGTATCCAAACCCAGTAAACGACAGCGGTCAGCATACGGTGGTAAATTCAGCGGGTCACTCCATGGAAGATAGCGCTGTGCGTATCTGACGAATTTGCGTTGAACAGCTTCGAATCGTCCACTCCATACAGCTTGGTAGGAATTCCAGACAACACACGCGAATTCCAGTAGTGAGCGTACCAATGAACAGTAAAGGGCTTTAAAACACAGAGGATCACGAAATTCCTTAGATATCTTGAACATGAATCCAAGCTGTCGATTAGCTTTGTCGATCGTGGTTGAGAAGTGGCGAGTGTATGTGAGCTTTTCATCCAACATGACACCGAGGTCTTTAACGTGATCGACACGTTGAACTACAGTTCCAGCAACGTTATAATCAAACAAAATGGCAGTCCTAGTTCGACGGAAACTAATTACGCAGCACTTTGAGACGCACAGAACCATAAAATTACGTTCACACCTATCATTAAAGATTTCAAGAAGGTTTTGTAGTTCTAAACAGTCGGCATAGCCTCGAACGACTAGATAAATATTCAAGTCATCGTCAACAAACAATTTACCTCCACGTAGTAGAATAAACGTTACATCGCTCACAAATAAAGAGAAGAGCATTGGTCCCAAAGTGCTACCCTGAGGAACTCCTGATATGTTCGAGAAACAGTACGATGAGTAGTTTCCAATGCATACAGTAACTTCACGTTGCACGAGGTACGATCTAAGCCAGCTGCAGAAGGAAACAGAACATCCAATTTTTTCAAGCTTTGCTAGCAGAACGTTGTGCACAACTCTATCAAACGCAGCTTTAAGATCAGTGTAGATGGCATCCACTTGTAGTTTCTTGCATACATTTTCCATACAGAACGACGTAAAGCTGACGAGATTAGTTTCCACGAGCCAGGAAAGAAACCATGTTGTCATGTACTTATGTAATGCTTACAGGAAGCAAACAATCTCTCATTTATCAGCGACTCAAACACCTTAGATTCAACCCCAAGCGAGGTAATCCCACGGTAGTTTTCCACATTGCGTTTGTCTCCTTTCTTGAAAACAGGGAACATAGTAGACCGTTTCCATAGTGCGGGAAATTTCTGTTGACGAAGTGACAGGTTGAAGAGCATGGACAACGGAGCAGCTAAGATATCGGAGCATTTTTTTAGGACTGCAGATGGAATAACACTCGGACCTGGTGAAAATGATGATTTGGTTTTACTCGTCACAGAGAGAACCATTTGTACATCTACGGCAAAAACATCCATGTTTATGACGTCGGTTGGCACATCACGGACGTCTCTCTCAATTTCTGCTTGCGATGGGGAGTCATTCGAGAAGACGCTTAAGAAGTGCCTAGCAAATAGGCTGCATTTGTCCTCAGTTGTCAATGCTACGTCATTGCCGAGAAACATTTTTGACGGCAGTCCAGTTTCCTTCCTCTTAGTATTCACAAACGACCAGAATCCCTTGGGGTGGCATTGCAGATTATGTTGAGTACGAATTACATACCTCTTGTAAAGAAGCTTGTTGTAGTGGCGATAATCATTGCTGGCAATTGAAAAATTTCGCTTGGTAAGGGTACATCGTCGATGAGTGAGAGCACGGAGAGCTCTAGATCGCACTCGTTTCAGGTTGCGGAGAGTAGCGTTAGACCAAGGCGGTTTTCTTGGAGGTTGGCACTTCGGTACTGAAGCACAAAAACAGTCGCGCAAAAGGCTATTATAGCGAGCGGCTGCTGTATCGATATCAAGGTCATTCAACACATTTATATAACAAGCCGTTCTAATTATTTTTCAAAAAGATGTTTTATTTGTTACTTGGGCGATAACCTATAGCAACCCATGTCTCGAATTTCTACTCATAGTCCTTATTTCGTCACGTAGGTTTTTGCCGATTGTTTCGATCGGTATTTGCAACTTTAGATTTGTTTTCCAGAACGGCTTGTTGGGCCTAGCTCAACCCCCTGTTTTGCCTAGGAACCATCGTGCACAGCTCGGTTTAGAGTTCCGCGCTTGCATTGGGATGGTGATCAGCCACTCCTAAAATGGAGAACAGATGCCCTTTTTAGACGCACCTTCATGGAGAACAGACGCTCGGGTTTGGTGAATCATTTCCTTCATCACCGTACTGGTTACCGCGCCAGTGTTCACGTCGCACCTACTCACTTTGCTATTGCCAGACTGGCAACATTACCCAGGCTACGCCATCCAGATGTGTCCATGTTGCAGCTGGTAGTCTTTTCTTATCATATGACTCGGGGAGGCGTGAGGCAGGAACTTGTGAGGACCAGACCCCTAGTCTCTGTTGTAATTGATGATGAAGCTATTGATCGCGTCTGGTAGATTAACTATTTTGGCTATATTCATCTGGAAGCAGTGCAATTATAACATAATAATACATGAGTTGCTTATATATATTATGCTATACTAGTGTATCCACCGCATAAATAAGTAATGCTCAACTGTTACGGAAATGATAAGCTCAAATTTGCGTGTATGTTGACATTGTAATTTCTTCCGCAGGAAATTATTTGTTGAGATACGATTAATATCGTAATTTATGGCTGCTTATTAGACCCAGTATAGGGACGTGTACCCTGTGTTTTAAAAACTGCAAAATATCCACCAAATTAAAATTCAAGATTAATTTAAATTTGAAAGGTTTTATGTTTCAAAAACATACAATACAGCCTTCTCTTCTAGCTTACAAGTTGAAAATATCATTATTACATCTAATGATTTCATAATTTTGATGAACATTTTTACAGTCAAATGAATGAGAGCAACCTTGATTTCTAGTACAAATGGTAAAATTGCCGTTAGAAGTTTCATGAGCAATTAATTTAAATATAAAAACTGTAGAAACTGCTAGCTGGCCAACGCAAACAAACACTACCATCCGAAAGAACTAAATTTCCTCATCGTGATGGTTATGTTTGTTTGGGTGGGTGAGTTAGAAGTTCCGATAATTCTCGTTGAAGTCCAGGTATTAGACCATTTATGTAAAATTTATTTTATTTCTAAATCGTCTTATTTTTTTGTAAATTCGTAATACCGGCAACAACGGCAATTTAGCCTTATAAAGCCAAATAATGATCGATATCTTTGACATAAAAGTTATAAAGAAGAGGGTTAATGCATGAGGCTTGGGATTTAGCGTAATGTATCTTATTCAGGAAGTTTTCAGTTGGTCAATTTGGTCTTCTGACAACAAATTGTACAAGAAATTACTTTAAATTCCAGGAAGTCCAGATCTGTGCAGCTTATCTGATTAAATTTCAATGGAAACGTTTCTTGCAGAATTAGTTGTGCTGTAACCGAGTCCCAGGCTACTTAAAGGAAGCCGAATATCTATCAGTTGGAGTATTCTTTACGCTCATTAGAGGATAAGCGGTTATGTATGTGCACCCTCCACGAAGCATTCATTGAGATTTCTCGTGAGATCCATAATGGCACCACTAGTTGTTTCAGCATTGTCTCAAGCATAGAATTGTTCTCGAAATGTATGGAGGTTTTGTGTCTACGAAAAGCTTCGAAAGCATCAGATTTTTCTACATACAATGTTGTGCCTTTTTCGACCCATTCAGGTGTGGTGGTTTCCTATTGAAGGGTGCACTTGGAACTGGGTTGTGTATATAAAATCGATGAGGAATCGATATTATACCATTCTGCGCGTAAAAAGCGTCTTCATTATTATCGTTACTTCCTAGATCCTAGGCTAAGAGTTATGCATATTGATTGTGCTTATCTTGAAGAAACGGCCTTTGAACCTCAACCTGCACACTTTTTTGTCATATAACCACGTCACATAATACTTTAAACCAAATCCTTTCCCATTGATTTCAATGTAGAACTGAAGTACTAGTCTAGTTTTTCCCCATTAAAGATTTAGGGCCATCATTTTCAACAAGTCTTTGCCTACTGATTCTGGGTGGGATCAGTGCAGCCACTTTACCCCCCATCACCGCTTTGATAAGACACTCAACTCCCTATGTAACATATATTTTGTCCAAATGAATGCTTCACACATAACGTAAAAATAATATTTGTACAATCCTCAATATTTAATTAAATTTGAAAGGAAAGCAAACTTGATTCAAATGACATTATTTTTTTAATTTCAGTTCCACCACATCAGATTCTGGTGTACGATGCATCTGGACGAGATGTTGCTGGTGCGATAGGCCCCTTGCAAGAAGACGACAATTTGATATTAACGTGTGAAGTAAGAGGAGGTAAGTTTTGTTTTATAATACTAACGATAGTGTGTTTCTTCAGAGAAAGGGTAAATGCTAGCTGTCAATAGCGTGATATTTCCTAACCTTCTAAATAGGGGACGCCGGGGTAAGATAGCAACCCTCTAGCTTTAAAACAAGCAACGTCGACATAAACAACAAACACAAACATTGTGTATGGTAACGGCCGGTATTTGTTAATTTGTGTTTACGGCATACATTGCTTTAGAGCTATAATATCATTTATCTTGTAAAATTAACGCTACTACAAGGTGTTATGATAAAACATAACACACTCTAATTTTCCTACTTAGCATGAAGCGTATTGATCGATTTTATACTGACCTAGGCATGTGTTGAATCAATACCGCGCACGGTTGAATATTTGTAAACTAATTGCACGCATCGCAGTTTCGAGGCGCATCGCTTTATTGTCAACCAAGCAAATTTCGGTCCAGACGTAGTGACGCCTAGAACCTTTTTGTATAACTTTTACGAGTATAAAAGCCCTCCGAAAAACACAATAAAGTCAGTCTCTACTCGGTACTTACCAAGTAGCATACAACCGGTCTTGAACCAGTTACTGTATTCACTAAGATATGACATCCGTGAAATCAGTGCTGGTTGCAACTATGTGATATACAGACAGATTCCACAAGTAAACATAGTAGATTCCAATGGTTGCGACAAAATAAAGGAAAAAATGAGTCTATTCGATGGACTTTTTTTGACGTAGAATAACGGTCAGGTTTTGACCACTTATAACTCTGTCAATAGCGGATGGTTTAAATTCTAAACAAGCCAATCGGTTGATAAATTTTCTACGAATCTTCCCAATTAACACTTTATCAATTTTCGAAAAGTCACTATTGATAATTACACAAATGTCCATCTGTTGAATTGGTTACATGGAATTATTTATTCACCGTGTATGGTGGTGTTCAGTTGGTCGTCATCAGCAGCAGTGCTTTCGGCGGGTGGTCTTGAACATTATTCTCCGGTACACAACGAAAGGCTGGTCGCAAGCAGCTAGCTGCAGCCCACATGAGCGTCCATTCATTGAAGAAGGAGGAAGAAGCTGTACCGCTACTGATCGGATTCAGTAGCTCTTCGTGAGGGGCCATATATGTCAAGCGTGTCACCCTCGTTCTAAACACCATACAGCTCGCCCGCCTCATCTGTGTGGATCACCCTAATAGCTCAGCATTACTCAACCATCACTGCACCTTTTCAGGACCACCATAAATTTGTTAAAGAGTATTTTCTGGATATTTAACAAGGTCATCAATAGGCAGTCAGTTCTCATAAGTTTAAACCTAACATACCATGTATGTATTTTTAAGGCGACATTGGGGTTACAATTTCAAAACCCAAAGTCGGTTGCGGCATGAAAGTGATCTGATTTTGATCCAGAGATGATGGGTTTTATATCTTAATACGCCAATCGATAGGATTTTTTTCTGCGAATCTGCTAAAATTAAGAATTTATCAATTTTAAAATTATCACCGATTGCCTGCGAAAAGTGCTTTCCCTTACACAGATTTCAAAAGCGAATTCCATCAGGTCTCGCCGGTGTCTGGTCGTCATCAACAGCAGCGGCAGTGCTTTCGGCGTGTGACATTGTACATTTTTCTACATCACACAACGAAAGGCCCCAGCAAGCAACTAGATATCAAAGCTGCCCCCTCTTTTTTTCTTATTCGCATTTCAAGCTTTTTGCTTAGCGCATATTAGCTTATTGCGTGCTCTCAACTTAGTGTTCTAAATGCACTTCTACAGTTATTAATTGAAAGCTTTCAATGCCAATTACCAATACATGAATTCGTATTTTGTGTGGCAAGCACAATGATACTCTATGCCCAGGGAAGTCGAGTAAATTTCCAACCCGAAAGATTCTCTCGACCGGACCGGAAATCGAACTCGCCGCCTCCGGCTTGGCAATAAAGCTGCCCTCAAGAGCCTTCGATTCACCGAGGAAGGAGGAAGAAGCCGCACCGCTACTGATCGGATTCAGTTGCTCGTCGTGAGCCGCCTCATCAATGTTGAACACCCGAATAGCTCAACATTACACAACCATCACGACAAATTATTGTTGTTTAAGAGTTAATTTTCATTGAACGTTCGCTCGTCTTGCTGACAGCTCTTTGATAATGTACCCAGCAACCAAAAGTTTGTGGTCAAATGCGTAACAGTATTGAAGTGGTATATAAAATTTTTCACAATGGCCGAATAACACATGACCTTGTAAATTAACCAGAAACACTTCGAATTAAGGTAAGGTTTGCTCCAGGATGCTAGAAAAACCGAAACAATCTCGAATCGATTGATCGCGAATATCTCGCGATTTAAAAAAATTAGCAGGCCGGCGCCGGTGGTGTAGTAGTAAGCGTGACTGCATGCTTACCCCAATTGGTCTGGGTTCAATCCCAACCGAGGTCGGTGGGATTTTTCCGAGGCATAAAAATTTCTGGTCACGTCTTCCTTCGGAAGGGAAGTAAAGCATTTGTTCCCGGCCCATGTGTGTTATGAATGGGTGCGATATCCTACGCAGGTGTGGAAGCTGCCTTCCTGCACATTCGATTGTCGTCAATGGATGACAATCGATGTCCGTTGGTAATTGGCACTAGATTACGGAACAGAGACCGACGTTAAATAAAGGAAAGAAAACATATAGCAAAAAATTCCACTAAAATTCCGTGTGTTTTGTTTACAAAAATGCGTCATTTTGTCGTCAGAAAGCGAGGCGTTTCCATGATGGTAAAAAGTGGTTTCCCTAACACAGTCGCCGAATATTTATACCGAGCACGTAATCCTACGTCTAATATACGGTCGTGTCTTGGATAAAACCTCTGAATTACATAAATAAAAATTATCGTGCATTTCGTAGTTGCTCCTCCGTGATTGATCAGAACTAATGCACTTGCACAGAGAACCCATAGATAGTGCGTGGGATTAGCTTTCCATCTTCAATGTACAAGCACACTAATTAAATCTATTTATAGATCAATTACAGGCGCAAGCCACGTCCTCACGGTTTTTTGGGTAGGGAAGGATTAGTTCAATGTCCGTTGTTACTAGAGACCAAATACATCTCTACATCTCCACGGCTTTCACGGGGAGGATAGTTGTGCTAGTGAGGTGGGTTATTTTTAGATCAGGATTCAACTGTGGTAGGGGATGCGATCGGTTGGTTAAAGCAGAATTCGTTTGCATTTAAATATATTTGGGATAGAATAAGGCAAAGTGAAAAATTGCAAGGAAGGGGACGGAGCCTGGGATTGAACTCTCGACCTTCTGTTTAGTAAGCAGAAACGGTAACCACTGAGCTACTAAGCCTCGTTTCATAAAAATAGAAAGTTTCCTTTAAATTATCGGGGTTAGACGGTCACCTTTGGTTAGGATGTGTTATGCCTCAAGGTTGAAACTGAATGCAGTTAATAACAATATTTCGTTTCTGAAATATATCAGGCTTTTTTCGTAAACATTTGTAGATTTGTCATGAATATGAATTCGCGATATGGAGGTCCCGGGTGATTCACCGGAAAACCCGAAGCATCCGTTCAAGCAGTCAATTCATAAAACTAGAATCTGGGTTTCTAAGAAGCTTCTATTTCCGGAATTATAATTAAGATGATCAAGGCATTCCAAATGTTCATGGTGCTCAGTTAAATTTTGAATTCTATCACAAGTGTACACGTGAACTTCCTGCATCTATAAACTTTATCTTGAAATCCTCTCCATCTACGAGGTCAGGATATCTACGTGAAGTCCACACGCAGGCTGGTTTTGCTAAGTGAGAAAGTGAGTGCAGAAATCCACCCTACATTCTCAGTTTGATTTTAAATCCCGTCTATACTTTCTTAAGTGGCTCACCCTCATCGTGAGAATTGAAATAAAATTCGAACTGCGTTTTTTTTTAAATAAAATGTGGCTTAATAAATATTCATAAAGTGAGTTAACATGTATTTTACATCAGATAATGATGTTTTGATGATTTTGCGCAGAAATGTAACGTCCAGCGTTGGATAAAAAAAAATCGTTTCGACTCGGCCGGGTTACCTTCTGCTAGCTGTAGAGTCACATGTAAATAGAAAGCACGAGCGTAAGTAACTTTAAGCTGGAGTAAAACTCCAGCTTACTTACTCTCGCTGAGTACAATATTATAAGTTATAGTTTATATTTGCATCTATCTCTTTTAATCTTGCTCTGTATAGAGTAATATAGGCAACCTGCGTCGAATGAAAACCAGTTCTAACCTGATAATTAGTCAAGCTAGTCTTTTCTGTTAAAAAGCATCTCCATAATTATGCAACATCAGCTTGAGCAATGGTGTTCAATTAGCAGTATAGCGAGGCAATGGGAAACCACCAGTGGCTAAACACATTCTGGTTAATAAACGAAATTTCTCCACAACGATTTACGAAAGCTGGGATCCACAGCTATCCATCGGAAAGCTTATCGGTCTCCGGATAATCTATGCGGTTCCATTTTCCACAGAGGCAATAAGCCACCCAAACTCATAATGCACTTTGTGGAATTTCTCTACCATGCCATAGTAGAAGTCAGTTGAATGCAGAAAGTGCTGGGCTAAGTTTATGTGGGTAGGCTGGTTTTGTGCTTGAAACTCTTCTGTCTTCCACCTACAGCCCAAACAGGGAAGCATCGATGACCGAATGGTCTGTAGATACCGGAACACTGAACACTGAAGCTAATATATATGCCTCCGGTTGGGAGTCAGATGCAGCTGATGACTTCCGCAAGTGAAATTTTATGAGCACCGCCATGCTGTCCGGAGACAACTGGATGAAAAAATCCTATAAATTAGCTATTAATACCGCCAAGTGTTTGTCACTGTTGGCTCGAATCCAGCAAAATTTTGTCTATTAAACCAACGAACACCAAACTCGCATTATATTCGCACGGAATTCCAAGTATCGCAATCGGTGTTTCGGCGCATTAACCGATACTCGAGGGAGCTGAGAAAATAAAAGCGACATTCACCGCTCAAAAAAGTGCCTATTTATGTTCAAAACTTTGTAAATAACTTTTCTATTTTTCGGTTTTTCCTTCCCTACGCGTAGGGAAGTGCGCTTCCTCTGGGGGGTGGTGCTTATCAAAGCTTGTTCACTTTATCATAACTAATCTAAATGCAATTTAACTTTTCAGACCAATTTACGTTACGCAATGTAAATACAGTTCGGAAGTTTTGCTCCAGCTTTGATCACGTTTTTGGAATGTGCGTGTTATGATTGAAAGAGCGGAAAAAAGTTTCATGCTTGCTAGCGGTACCAGTTGCTTTTCCTTGTTTGAATGTGAATCGAACACAACTTTGAACTAGTAATTATTTGGATTATTTATTTGAAGTGCCTGTTTTGATACTCATCTTCCATTTGTCATTCGGTGAAGGCAATGAATCGTGTTTTTCGCTTTTTGATATATGCTTGCTGCTCACTGAAGGGCAACGAAACTCAAATGACAATTAGCTCGTGAGAGGTAGTTATTAACGTGTTTACCGGTGCTACCCTATGATGCGATGGAGTATCCAGAACAACCATCCATTTCAGCTATGGTTGACTTTCATTATGAATATAGGAACCGTGTTGTGGTCGAGAGTGTACCAACGGTAGCATAAAACAGACAGGTTGTTATGGGGACTGCTGCAGTATGACCGTGTTCAACTGACTAATTAGAAAAAATGCCTCTATCGTGCTACTACTATTGGACTTTGGTGGCGTTGACCAGCTGCTTCTTGCCAACGCTGATTCGTGCAGCCCCACAGAAGCCAGGAGATTTTACTCGTACCATGGGTATCGAAATGACGGCCAGCCAACACCGAGAATGTGTCGACGAAACAACTGTCAGCGAGGACTCTATCGTTCGGTTCAACGGACCGGAAATTTTTGACGATGATGAAAAACTGAAGTGCTATATGGATTGCATGTTCCGGAAGTTTAACGTCACCAAACCAGATGGCGAAGTTGACATGATTGAGGTTTATCATAAAACTCCAAAGCAACTGAAATCGGTAGCAATGACAGTCAACAATAAATGCCGTTCTGCAGTCGTAGAGTCTTCTTCCTGTGAGCGAGCATTTTCAATCCACAAATGTTGGAAGCAAATGGTACCTGAAGTAAGTAGCTATTTACTGTCGATTTCTGAAACATTCTCTCTGATTTCTTGTTTACTAAATGACTTGTGATATTTTTATTTTGCAGCATTATTATCTTTTCTGATCGAATTCTTTGATGGAACTATAGAAAAACAATAAGGAAGAGGTTCAAAAGAAGGGAATTAAAATTCAAAATCATTGTCAACTAACAAAGAATAAAGTTCTAAATAAATAAATAACATGCCATAGGTGTAACACATAGTTTGATAATTATTTTTGATACTTTATTTAAAAAACAAGTGCTTCAGTTTCAAAACCATTCAAGAAACATCAATGCAACCCTTTTCTCAATCAAAACTTGATATTCCCTGTTCTGTATCAATATTGATGAAACAGGTTCCAATAAATCTCTAATTACTCACTCAGCTTTGGATGACCTTCTACCACAGATTTTGTGAAACGAAGCAATTAATTGTAGATTTAGACGCTTCGCATTAATTAAACCCTTTTGATGCTCCAGGAGAAAAAAAAAATCGAAACATATTGAACCGTAATAAAGCACGAGTTACAGGTAAAGTAATTCTAAACTATTTGAATGATGTGATTAATTTATCAGGTATTTATACTATTTTTTTTATCCTGTGAAGGTTGTATGACTACAGCTATAGGACCAAATGAATTACAAGACTCAGCCTGGTAAATCACCAAAAAATGCTATATGAATTGCGTAGCTCATGCACCATTTTATAATCTATCGCGATGCTCGAAGTTCATCGGATCTAACCTGGATCCGATGAACTTCGAGCATCGCGGTAGATTATAAAATGGTGCATGAGCTACGCAATTCATATAGCATTTTTTGGTGATTTACCAGGCTGAGTCTTGTAATTCATTCGGTCCTATAGCTGTAGCCATACA